AAGTATGTACTGAAAAAAAGTACACCCTTAAGGAACTGAGGGTTTATGTTTATGTTCTGCCTTAACCCTTTCATGCATAAATTATTTTAAAATATTCACTGAAGTCTTACACAAAAACATTTTTTTGACTTAATTCGGGGTTTGTAAAGACACATATACCAGAAGCATGCTTCACTGAAAATGGAAAATAGTCAGGATAATGAATGAAATTAAATTACAATAATGGTCTCAAGTATTTCAGAGGTGTATATTTTCCTAAAATAAAAATAGCTTTAAGGTTAAAGCACTACAAACAAATGTATGTACAAAAAAGCATTGGCATGTAATAAATTACTTATGAGTAACTGTCTGAGTACTTTTTTTATCTGAGTACTTATGAGTAGTTTTTTAATTTGGTTTGATGGATTACAACTCATAACACAGTTCTTCATACATCCTCAAATCATGTAATTGACCTAAATCTGAAAATACTCCACATCTAAGGGATGAGTGTGTATGTGAAAAAGGATTCATCCACCAAAATGAAGGGAATGCATTTGCAGGTCATTAAGAAGGATTCAGTTGTTTTCTTCTCAAACCGAACTACCTCCTTAAGATTACCACTAAAATTGAAACAGCAACATATATTGCTTCTTGGCCTGAATCAGTGTAACAACACATCAGCTCCAAATAAGTTCCAGGAACAGATCACATAAGGTTGTTGCAGCCAGTTTAAACCAGTTTCCTCAGTACATTCCGTGACCTTTCAGATCCCCAAAGAGGTAAACAACCTCATTTTCTTGATCCAGTAGTCCCCTCCCTTCACTGTCAGACTGAAACTGGATCCAGGTATGTTTGTGTGACGCAGACGCGTCCCTCCCCGCCTGCCTTAGACAACAGCTGGCACTGCCGCTCTTACAAGATCAAATAAATAATTCTCCTAAAGAGTACTATGCCTGTGAATACATATAGGTGAAAGGTCTATTCTCTACATGGAAAAGTTTTAAGTTTGTGTCTTGTCTTATGAAATGAGTTGCAAAAATAGATCTAGAAGTTATTATGTACTGTGACTGTGATAAACATTAGTTTAAAAGGTTGAAACAAAACCAGAACCATGCTTTACATTTTTTATAAAACAGCTATAATAGTCGTACCTTTGCTTGTGAATTGATGTCTTCACATTCTATATAAAGCATACAATGTAGAGTTTTCATGCAGTTCGGCTAATGTACTAATTACTAGATATTTGTATGATTTTTAAGCAAAATTCGGTCTTCCTAATTTCCATCGGTGTGACTTCGGAGAGTTTGCTCAAAAGAATACAGTGTTGTGTCTGGTCGTATTTCAGTCTCTCTGGAGAGTTTCCCAGGCCACTTCTTTCCATTCACAAGTGGTGTCACATGTATAGACACTGGGACAGGACCATTCTCCTGCCGGTTAACATGACCCAGATTTTCGTTGTCCTTTTGTTGCTCACCTGCTCTCTCAGGCCCGTTTTTTTGTGACAGATCTCTAAGATAAACGTGCCATTGGTGGACTTTGAATAAAAACGCTTCAGTTGTTCTTATTAAAACTTATCAGTGCAATCTTGCAGAAAAGTGTGTCTAGCATTGAGAAAGTCCCATTTACTTTTTTTATACAGCAAAATCTGCTAACCCTGTGCCTAAGAAGATAGTAACACTCTCTATGAAACCTGTACAACCAGTACAGCCAAAGATTCCTTCAACAAAAAGTGACTTGGGTTATATTGAACAAAAAAAGCTCCTCCTGGTAATTGAGAAGATTAAAAGAAGGCACAAAAGGTGGTAGGAAGACATAAGAATGAGACATGAGAGGCAGGAACCAACCACAGTGCCCAGTGATTTACTATACATATAGAGAACAAAAGTGGACCAACAGTTGAACTTTGCAGAACACCGTTATTTATGAGTGACCATCTCTAGACAAAATCTGGCACAATCTACCTTGAACATAGCATCACAACCAAGAGCAAAGTTCAATAAGGCATGAAAAGAACAAGTCTAGCAAGATGATAACTCATGTTTTTCTATTTCTTTTTGTCTGGCCAGGCATACTGTACTTACAACAAAGACGTTTCTAAGCAGGATAATGAGTCCTATTTGAGGCAGCTTATGTGCAATTAGCGACAATCATCATGGAAAAGTTTAACTCGGTGTACACAGGAGCTGGAAAATTAAGCCCAAGATACTGTCTTATATTATACGCCACACAAAACTGTCTTAATTAAGAAACACATTTACCACCGAGACTGAATGTCCATTATATCACCATCCGTGTGTCTAATAACAACCTGTGTATGAATCAGGTCAAAATATTAACACCACCAAACATACAGAACATGGGCAATACTAGCTCGGTGGTTAAAGGAAAAGTCCACCCTAAAAGACATTAAATATCGAAACATCCGTGGGTTCCTTGGAAGATTAGTAGTTAGGCCTCAGCGCTCTCACGGCCCACCACGGCCTGGGTTCGATTCCCGGCCAGGGAACCAACCCCAGCCACTGGGACTGCACAAGACAGTGCACTCCCAGTGCTGGTCCCAAGCCCGGATAAAATTGGGGATGGTTGCATCAGAAAGGGCATCCGGTGTTAAAACTGTTGTATTTCAACAACATATTGAAATATTTGTGCTGTGTTTAGCAATCCTGGTGCTAATTTGTTGGGTGGGGCTGCATTTTCATTATTCCTGTGAAAAGTTAGCAGTGTGACATCACAGGACACTCCTAGTTACAATTTAATAAGAGAAAAAAAAGTTGAAGATTTAAACAGTCAAGTTTCACTATTAGCTCCTAAAACAAACAAGAATGGATGTCTTTTATTACTCACCATTTTCCATTATTCAATGAATGAGAAATCCAGTGTAGAAGTAGTGGAGATGTTATTCTGGATGTTAGCTGGACTCATCGCAGCTATACGATACAGTTGCTCTGAGTTACAGCAAAGACTCAGCTTAGCGAGTTAGCAGTCTACGTGATGGGGAATGTGATGGCAGTGATGATGGTATTAGCAAGAAAGTTGAAGCTGAAGCTTAGATATGAAGCTTGCAGGATTAACATGAACAAATGATTCCTTCCTTCATCCTTAGTACTGTCTTGTACTGTCTTGTGCTGTCTGCACATGTTTGCACTTTATGTATAAATTATGTAGTCCCTTGTAGTTCTGTGTTGTTCTGTGTCATCTTATGTAGCACCTTGGTCCTGGAGAAACGTTGTTTCGTTTCACTATGTACTTGTATATGGCTGAAATGACAATAAACTCCACTTGAACTTGAACTTGAGTAACTGCCTGGTCAGGGTCATGGTGGTTTAAATTAAGTTTAGTAGTCTATAAACTTTGTTTATATTTTTAGAAACTAAATTTGTAAGAAAATGTTGCGGGCAGGTACAAACTAAAATAATAACTGAGAAAAAACAGTTCCGTGTACATTAGTGATGTAGCTGAGGGTAAGGAACTGTCAGGATTTACACACCAAGCTGACAATGCTGGTATTTCTAGCTCTGGGGTTTTCCAGTATTTGGAGGCGTAGTGTTTTTTTTTTATGCCATACCTATTTGGGATTAACTCTGGTGTGGTCTGATAGACCTGCTATAATATTTGTACTGTAAAACAATACAATTTTATCAAGTTATGTCGAAATACTTAACAAATATTTATTCAACTCATTTAAGAACAATACAAACACACTATGTGGTTAATATTTGCATATTTACCTTTTAAAAAAAAAAAAAAAATCTCAATAAACCTTTGTTAATTTGTTTCTTGTAAACCCTCCAAATGAAGGTAGTGATGGTACAAATCTTTATCTTGAACAAATACAGATAAAACAAGGTTTTCATCATTACTGAAATTTATTCATTTTTCAGAACAACTTCAAAATGGTCAGTTATACAAAACATTTTATGTGAATGATAAATGAACCCGGTTGAATACGTACTTTTTACACACCACATAAGATTTTTATTGTACACCTTACATACACCTTGCGCTTGTGTACTGTGTCCTCACTATAGAAGACTTTAATGTCCTATGCTTGTGTATTATCTATTCCTAGGATGAGGAGTCCATTTGATTTCACCATTTTTAGACATCATACTTTCTTCTCTAGTAGAGTGCTGATGAGCTGGTGCTGGGAAGATTTGATGGTCAATGTCATCCCATCTTCAAATTCACTACCAGAAACTGAATTGATCGAGGCATCGTCCTCATGTTCAGAAAGTTCTTCGTTTTCCAAAAGAGGAACTCTACATTTGCTTCACAGGCTTCTAAAATGATTTCTAAATGTCTATTAACAGAGACTCTTTCTGTCATATTGACTGATTGTGATGAGATGCCATACACTGTGACACAGAGCTAATTATATCTTATGTACCTTCCCCAATTTGCAGCTGAGAGAATGTTATGAAATTATATTTTGCAGGTTTCTATGAAAAAAATTGTAGATATACATGCAACAGAGGGAGCTGACTATATGGAAGTATGGAAGTATGCAAAATAGACCAACTTTTTGGAAAACCTGTGTATTTCTATGTCTGCATGTGTGTGTGTGTCTTCTTTTCCACACTAAAGAAGATTGTGGAAATGCAGGAATAGAGAGGTTTTCATAGTTGAAATGCAAAAATGTCAAAACTGTGTATGTGTGTAGTTTCACATACAAGAAAGAAAGGAGAGTGTGGGGGAAAAGACAGACACAAACACATGAAGAAGTAGTTTGGGGAACACAAATAGAGTAAAGGTCAGGGAACATTTTTTTTTTTTATATTTGGAGCTCCTGAAAGTGCATATCTGAACTTTCGGCATGAAACTGTATCCTGCACTTGTACGCCAAGCCAAATGTGTAGTTTTCCTTCAGTGCCATGGTTCTAATCTCAGACCAAGTGATAACCACCAAAGAATTTCATGTGCAGCTTGATATTGACCTGCTCACACAATGACCCATTTATGACTGGAGCGAATTATCATATAAACCTGAGATTTTACATTTATTCAAAAAATTGTCTGCAGAATACATAAGACAAATAGGCATTTAAAAGACATGCAAGTATCAATAAACAGTCGAAGAGATTTGCAAGTACAAATGCGTTAACATGGTTATAGGTTGCTGCAACAGAAATAAATGCATAGGCAGCATTCCTTTGAGGAGAACTGAATGTACTCCTTACACATACATTCCAGGTCGAGTTTGGTTTAGCATGAGCAGCTAACAGAGTGCTTAGAATATATAGCAATGGCAGCTACATGATTTTTCAGAGACATTTAGTTCTCACCTGTACCCTAGTCTGTATGCGTTCTCACTGTTGTTATACCTGTTTTTCTTACTGAGATACCAAAAAAATGTAATGTATGGAGAGAGGAGAAAGAACGTCAGAGAAAGTTTTCACCGTGGCCTGGAGACATCTGTGATTTGATAAGGGTAAAGTACATCCACTTAGAGCAGCAAGCTCCTGGTAGAGACCCAGTTTAGGATGTGACTGAGGGGTAAACATTGAACGCAGGGCAAAGAGGTCTGAAGGTGGAGAGGAAGCAAGTGCCCTGAGTTGTCTTTTCAGGCGGTGTTGTCTGGAGGCATGACCTATTTGAATATTTGATTTCCAGCACCCCTAATACTAATCTAAACCCTAGCACAGGACATATTATAAATAAAAATGAAATATACATATTGTTACATTGTTCACCTGTGGTATGAAACATACAGTTTATAATACAGTCTTTTATACTCATGTCTATACGCAAGTTAGGCCTTAACTACTTTTATTAGCATGTGCTACAGTCCTTACTGTGTGTTTGAATAAATCAAGCTCCTGCGAAATCAACATCATACCTAATTTTATAACATCACACCCTAAAAAGTGCTTTGTGCTCACAAATTTGTGTCATGTGATCTCAAAGCAACTTGTTAGTGGTGTTGGCTTCGCATTGCAAATTGTCCCAAGTTACTTAAATATCCTAAAGTATACTTAACTACTTAACTAATGTGATTATTAACGGCTATTCATATATGACTCAGAGGCTGGTAACATATACACTTCATTAGTTCCTGATTAACTAAGCACTAGTGCATGTATTAATTCATCATGATGAAAACATTAGTTAAGAATTAATATGTTGCTTATTTGTGAAACTTATAGTAAAGTGGGTTACCAAACTTTCCATATAAAATCAACACATTCTGATATATCACTGGTAAAACTAGAATAAGACACTCTGGTATCTATACTGTATGTGAACATCACTATCAGGCCATGCTGTGACTCAGCAGGAAAAGCCAATGTTGCTGTTGCAGCTGTTTTCTAAGGTCCCAGGCTTTACTTGCAACAACAACAGGCATAAAACGCGTGGCCGGAAGATTACAAGTTCAAATCCCAGGACTGTTACAAGAACCACTGTTGGGTTCATAGTTAATATATCACAATACAGAATGTGTACTGCACCAATTACTAATCTGTTATGTTATCCTTATATTCTTTCATAAACTCTGACTCCTGTTAGTTAGACCGTTTACTTTTATTGTCTTAAATAGCTTGGGTTAATTGGTTTAAGTTAGCCAAGTTACCAGTTGATTTCTGAATTACAGGATACCAGAGTTAATCATGAACTGTATCATGCTTGTAGTATGTTATTAAAGAGTAAAGTGACACAATACAACAACTTAATACTGAATTAACATCAGATGTTGATTGATAGCCAACTAAGGAGGTTGTAGATAACTCCATTAGCTACAGTTACAACGTAGCAAGGGGATTTAGCTAGTTAAGTTACGAATATGTGACAGACAGACAGACAGAAAGAAAGAAAGAGATGGGATATTTTCTGACATAAACACACACATTTAGTAGTCTTGGAATGCAGGTTTTTTCACATAATAAGCTACATTCTGTTATATTGACTTTGACTGAATTTGACAACTGGAGATGTAAAAAAAAAAACAACAACAAAAAACTCCCAAAATTAGTGGACTGTGTCCTCATTGCTATTTTCCCCACCTCATGTCCAGTATTTCGGGGATTGTGATTACTGAAGATGAATGAATGACTGAAAATTCCCCCACATATTTCCCCCCTTTTAATTGTTCTATGAGCCAAGAAGCTCATCATCACTGTGTGTTTCACACACAGATCCATTAGCATGATCTCAGATCACAGGGTACAAACTGGCCACTTTACATACCATCATAAGACAAAGCACTCTCTTCAATTCAATTTCAATTCAGTTTTATTTGTATACCGCTTTAAACGTTGGCCATTGTCCTAAAGCAGCTTTACAACAGAAATATCTGAAATATCTCCACATCACACTTCCCACAGAGCTCAGGTCATGTCTTGTATCAACTTCTTACTTCTGCTTGCCTCAGTAAGGACGGACACAGCCTCAAATACAGGTTGTTCTGATAAAAAACAGAAACATATTCACTTATATAAAACATGTTGCTGGTATGTGAGCATCTTTATGATGATAAAGCAGTGCACAGAGTATTGTAAACAATGTTGCTGA